AGTTGGTGCCAAGCACGCCCACTTCTCTTTAGATCTGAATTGAATTTCCCCAAAATTGTACCAGCATGAAAGTGGGGACCGAGGGGTTGAAAGTTGACCCACTCTAATGAAGGCACTTACCTTTAAATCTTTTGAGGTAAATATTTTCTTGTCGCAAAGATGGCATTTTCACAATGTTATATAGAATCGAATTTTTGCTTTAATTGCAATATGATATCTTTGTGCTTAATTCTACTTCGTAAAATCGCAAGCAACCACGGCTGATTCAGGAATCATTCTCGTAAGATTATTCAAGGTGATATCATAATCGTCGCTGTCGTTGGAATTTATTTCACCACGAGTTTCACCCCAAAAACCACCATGGTTCCACATTCCACTTCTTCTCAACCAGATCACTTGGAATCTTTTAAAATCAGGGTCGTGTTTAGAATTTTTTGAGGAGCATTCGGCTTTAATGAAAGTATGTATATAAGGAAAATTTATGTCGCCTGTATACATGGTACTGCGTGTTTTCATAGGAGTGGTGATTATGCTTAAGCACGGCACTCACAGCCTAAGGATTTACGAAGGATCTTTCGTGATGGTTTGAAGATGGTCTGACGGGGGCGTATCATCGCAAATTGATTCACATTATTTGAGTGCGAAAAGATGATTCGCCTAAGTGGAGAAATGTTTTGATGTTGAGGGGTTTAGCTACGAAGAAAGCATCTGTTCTTCATTTGATGATTTGCCTGAGTTCTCTTACGAACCTGTGAATTTAAATGAATAAGAGAAGTTCATCAGTAATAAAATACTCTAAAAATAATAGCACAATCAACCACCTACGGATATTTCCGCAGAATCCAATTAAACTTGCAGCATCAAAATATCTTGGCGGAATTAATTTACTTTCGACTGAAATCAGACAACCTAGCAAATATCAAATAGCTACCGCCACATCAGCACTGATTCGAACACCAGTTGTACATCTTTGAAGCCTGTTTTCACATGGCTGATGCTGATGCCAATTTTTAAACCATTATTCCGGGAAGGTGGTGACGGGTAAAATGGTTTTATTTTGTCAGAAAAGGAACAGAACACCCGAAAAAGTACTATCACAGGAAAGGTGATTTATGCAAAGAATTGATAAAACTGGTTGTTTCTGTTGGGAGCCATGGTGTGCAAATTAGGTATTCGGGTGGTTTAATATATCTATTTTTTCCACCGCACTCGACCGATTCTAAATCAGGTCCTGATAATTCTTCCAAAATTTGGGTTATAGCTCATACTGCACTGGCCGTTTGAAGTTTATACAGGAATCATTTGTGCTCATCGTTGTAGCCTTGTTTCATAATGACGGGTAAACTTGCCATCTGTTCTTATGTAAAATTAAATCAGCTACAACTTTGCTCAATACCACCTTTTGATTGAACTCCAAGATAATAAGCTATTAATTGATTTCGAAACCGATTACACCAATGTTGCCAACAGCCAGTCAGAATAATACCACCTTCTTAATTAATTATTAACTAATTATCCATACGTTAAATTAAAATGTGGGCTTCAGCTAATGTGAGAAAATTTCTTATAAATGCAGATAGCAAATTCGTACATAAATCATTATGGTGAAAGGCTAGGACGCGATGAACAAAAAGTTCACTTTTTCCATAGTAATTCGTAACCAAATAAGCTCAAATTTTGAGAGAATTATCAGGACTGGTTTAGAGATGATTGAGCTGAGTGGAACAAAATCGATATTTTGAACCACCCTATTAGTCTAGCTTTTTGGATACAATATTGCTTAGAAATAAGACATAAAATGTAGCGGCGCCGGTAGTGTAGTGGTAAGCGTGATTACCTCTCACCCCAGCAGGCCTGGGTTCAATCTCAGTCGGCGCCGCCGGGATGTTCTGAGGCATAACATCTCTGATCACGTCTTCCTTCGGAAGGGAAGTAAAGCCGTTGGTCCCCGGTTCATGAGTTGATGGGTCGATAGGTAGTAGGGTCCAGGTGTGGGAGCTGCCTCTCTGGCGTCGGTAGCATTGGTGCTCAGCACGGAAAACAAATCAAGAAAAAAAAAAAAAACATAAAATGCAATTATCATTGTATCAAAACGGTCTACTCTTGATTGACGACAAATAAATAAATAAATATTAGCTAACCATATATATTAAAGCACATTTATACTTCGCAATTTTATGTGGATCTGAGTTTAACTGGTTAATCATCATTCAATGTTGATTAAAATGGAGTTATTGTTGAACGCTGGAGCAAAACTGATTGGCCGATCTAAAAATTCTCTCGAATGGCCGAGAAACGCCATAAGTTCTGCTACACTAATGGTGGCTAGGCTAAAATGTATAGCTAGAGATTAAATTAAATTAGGTTCATATTAAGTAATGCAGCAATGCTTGAATTGGTAATTTATAACCGCGCCTTAACTTTGTTCGTATTCTTTATTATGCTGAAGCTTTAAAATGAAGACGCATAGTACATTGTGAATCAAAGGCTTTGTCAGTAGTTACCACAGTCAGGCATGGAAAATCATTTACATTCCTTTTTCGTTGATTTTTCCATTTAATTCTACTACTTTTGTATCACTTTCACTTTCACTAATTCACTTTCACTAATTCACTTTCACTAACTCACTTTCACTAATTCACTTTCACTAATTCACTTTCAATATCACTTTGTATATATATAACAACTATAAGAGATACGTATTTCGTTTACTACTTGCAAACTTCTTCAGTGTCTAGTCATAGACTGACTGGAAAAATCGATGGAAAAGGTATACAATTATTCTACTAAAACGCTCATCAATCAATTTACATTTACAGTCATTTCGTGCATTCATTTACATTCATTTACCTCTAACATTATTCATGCCACGTAACGTGGGTAGATCGCCTTTTCGTGGTACGTTACGGGATGTAAGATCTACCACCGATTCCTAGTCCTGACTACTTCAAACTAGGGGAACAGGACTGTTTTTGTAATCAAAGGAACACATCGTAGTCCTTGTTACTTTTTATGCCTTGTTGATAGTGACAAGAGTCGGCTTTGTCCACCGAGGATGATCTTAATACAAATAAAAAATGACTTAGTTAGTCTTCATCTAGGGTTAACTACCCCATTTCCGGCCTATTAAGCACAACCCGCACTTCATCTTTCTTAATCTAGCGCAGTTTAGCACCAAACGGAATGTTATTATTACTGATGGCTTCCAAATTTGTTTACCTTTCCGTACGTACCGTAAGATTTGAAAAGGAGAAACCAATCGTTGATATATTGTCAAAAGTCTAACACTGCTTCTTGACGCCAAACTCGGCCTACGGATTCTAAACTCGGCCTAATGCATTGAAACGCAATTGAAACGCCAATGAATTCACTTCGGCCTATCGGATGAAGATAAAAATTGATTCGGTCGGAGCGCTTCTTTTGTTTTTGCTAATAATGGGTGTAAACCTTCATATCACGCGTTCTCATTGACTTCTTTCGGAAGCTTATTAACTAAAGTATCGTACCAAACGCATAATTGACTTGTTAACTCTGAAATCATGGATTTATTTGAAGTTTTCTGCTCGATAGGCCCGAAACGGGCGATTAGGCCGAAGTAGTTCTCTTATGTGATTCCTAATCTTCTATTCGTTGTTCCCTAGTTTGAAGTGGTCATTATCGGTGCTATTCCTTAAGTTTGTTGCTAAGGAATCCAATTTTGACTGACAAAGGGGCGTGCCTTTGGAGGGTGTTCCAACACTCCGAAGGGTATAAATAGCGGGTCCTTTCATTTAGAGTCGGATCCTTGCGATAAATGCAAGAATGAAAACTGTAAAAAAATCGAATACTTCATCATTTATCAATAGTGATGGAGTAATACGACATGCACTAAACTAAGGACACGGGATGTACTACAATAGATTAAATTACTAGCCGCAGTGGTGAAGGTCCCGAACAGAGGGAAAAAACCTTATTCATAAACAGAGTTCCGTAAAATGATGTATGAAGCTTTTGTATTTTTTTTTATTATTTATTATTGACATTTTTAGCCTTCATCTCCGTAGAATATTTTGAAGGTTTTATATTAATTACAACTTTTGTGAATAATCCAAACCTTTATCTCTTATGCATGATGAAATAGAGCAAACAGAACCCACCATTTTTTTTTCAGTGAATGTAAATTACATTCACTCAAAAACAATAATAAGTTAGCGTCATCGGTGATGTAGTGTGTAAGCGTGATTGTTGGGATTTTCTGAGACTTAAAATTTCTGATCAGAAGGGAAGTAAAGCCGTTGTTCCCCGGTCGATGAGTTGATGGGTCGATAGGTGGGACCAGGTGTGGGGAACTGCCTTCGTGGCGTCGGTATCATTGGGACTCAGTACGAAAAACGAGATCGACGGAAAGGCTGGTAAGTTACTGTAGAAACTGGAGCACCTAGGTTAAAATGAAATGTTCTTTTTTTTTTTTTTTTTTTTGTTATAGTCACTTTAACGCTCTTGGGTTATTCGTGACTTGTCTGGGGATGAGATTTGAACTCGTGACTTTGGCGTGAGAGGTATGGATTCGAACCACTACGCCGGGGTTTCCCCTTAATGAAATGTTATTTATTTTGAATTTGAAACAAATAAAGAGCTAAAAAAAACACTAACGCAATCTGATAGGGGAAATGACGGCTTCGGCATGACAGACTATTTTCGGCAACACAAATTGAAACACTATTTTCACTGGATTTTCTTACGAAAACACTTCGCTGAATGCATGCAAACGATTCTTTAGGCTTTCAGCTTCAATTTGATTATATTTTTACCACTCAGAAAAAGCAATCTAGCAAGGTTTTCTTGAAATGCAACACACGCACTACAAATTGTAGCTGATTTCGAGTTGCCGATAATAGAACAGCAGATTTACATGCAGTTCAAATGGAACGGTTGCCGAAGAAAAACTGGTTGCCGACAATACTCGCTCTTACTAGAGAAGATTGGAGCTTTGTAAAAGCGTTTCGAAACAGGTCGGCTATAGAAAGAAGGTCGCTGCTTAGGTTGCCGAGAATACGTAAATTCCCCTACTATCATAATTTTTATGTCGACGGAAACAAATCAAGGAAAAAAACAATAATAAGTTTTGTCCACTGTAGGTCGTCATACATACAATAGATACAGATTTGAATTATTCACAAATGTTGTAGTTAATATGAAGCTTTTGATATCCATTATTTTACGGAATTCAGTTGATGAAAAAGTTGAACGCAAATGTATGTCAATAATTGTCCATAATTGTCCATCCAAACCATAGTAAGCTTGTAAGTTTTTAGCTACAATAGAACATAAGATGAGGTCATATCCATGAAATAAGAAAATTAGCGCACCAGAAACAAGGTTTCTGAAAGAAAAGTGCCAATTGTTGGCTTATGTTTTACCGCTACTTAAACAAGTTAGTAAAAGACAACGCTAAAAAAGCTCATTCCTAAGTATTCGAGCACAAACCGTGCATTGTTCCATTTTCCCCAGAAGGGAATTCATTTTCATTTTATTGTTTGAAATTCCCTTGCCCAGCTGCTTCGATATCATTCCGTCCAACCGCATTTTTTTTATTTTTTCCTTCCCCTTCATTTTAATTGCATTTTCCACCGGGATCGGAAGGTCGTTTAGTTTGTTAACGCAAGCGAAATGTGTTTGAACCAAGTTGAATTTTAGTGGACGGTTTCTGTCTGAGCTTGCATACAAAAAATAGATCGGATGAGATGACTGGGCAAATTTTCCACCACATCAGCCAAGCTTAAGGTATAACATCAACTCGTCTGCACTACTTACCCCTTACGATGGAAGAAACCCAATAAAGTTGTTTTTGCGACTTGGAGCAAGCGTAATTTTGGCAAAATGTGTAGGGTACATCCCTCCAATGATTTCTATCTGTCTGTCTCGAATTCTTTGCCTGGTGTGAATGAAACTTACCAAAACGTAAACCAAAAATCGTGTTCTGCTACCTAAGCTTCTCAGAATGAAAACTTTTTGATTTATGTTTGTTATTCGACGGTGAAATTTGCTTCCCTTTAAAATATCCATGTTTGTGGTGGAGGATTTACTTAGACCGGTAAAGCTCCCCGTCGCCCACCAGCAATCGGAGACAATCACCTTGGCAGCACCGGTTTCATCCTCCGGGCATGGCAAGTTACTTGGCAGTGATAATCATTGGTGTAGATTGGGGTAAAATTTTGCTCACGTCTGACCGACAATATCCGTTCCTTTTTGGTGGTATAATTTATTGATGTTTGCTCAACGATTGAATCGAACGCAAGTGGAAACAGTAATGATGTCGACGGGTCCTTAGAGATACGAAAGAAAGCGAAAAGTTGCTAACCAATAAGCGGAAAAGGGAACTTTTGCTACAGTTGCTCTCAATGGTCAAGCGATGAAAATCAATAATGTTTAGAAATCGAATTCACTTTCGAGTGTTTGTGGTTGTTTCCTTCATCGAAAAATTGTCTATCTGCTATAAGAACGTTTTCTCTGGCATTCTGTGTTGGCTTCTAGGTGCAAAATTTATGAATTTAATTTTGGCAATATTTATTGGAACTTACTTAATTTGTTATTTATTAAGTTTAGAATATAATAATAGCAAAGGTAATGGGTAATGGGTTGTTATATTCTATCCAACGGAGGCGAAAGGTAATCTTAAAAATTTCCTGTTGTGACAGCGATAGCTATGAAATATTCAATTTAAATTTCGCATGAATTTCAATAACATTAATCATGCAAGCGTACAACAAGCTTCGGTGCTCACATTAATGAATTATTGCAACTTGGTGCGTAATTCCCTTGAGATAACGTTCCCGGAATCATTATGCCTTGCGTCGCGAGCAACTGACAGAACAAAACAAAGTGGATGGATGTTTTGCATAAAATTTCAATTCGGATGCATTCCCGGAATGCCAGAAACATGCAGGCAGAAAAAAGTGTTACCATGAGACAGCGACTTTATCGCATGAAACTATTTAGTTTTATTTACTCGATGCTTTTCCTTGAGCGAAGCTGTAGTGATACAATTCATGACAGCGGAAAACTTTGCACGGTTTAGAGTTTATCTGGCTCGAACACAATATACTGATGGCTTTCGGAATATACCCTAGCATAAATATTTAAAATATCAAGCAGAGCGTCATTCGCATGGAACAAAGGCGACACATAGCTCGAAGAAGAAAGACGCTCTCCGTTGCATCAGATATCTTGGAGCCATCGTTATTTACAACTGATTCGTCTTGGCAGCTCCGGTATGTGTTGCTTTTCAGACATGGACTGATGAAGCTAGGTTGGGACCGCGTTATAGCTGTCATATTTTCATGACATTGAAACTTGGCAACGGAAAAATACTGGTGTAACATTCTGTTTCCTAATTATTATTTTTTTCGTAGAATCAAATAGAAGGCAAAGCGTACGTTACAATGCCTGCAGGATTATTTGGTTTTTGATCTTACTCCCCTTCTGCGTAATGCTTTTTCTCATATATATTACACGCACTGCCACTAATTCCAGGACCCCCTCCCCTCCTTAAGAGTGAACGTCATATTTGTATCGCCCCTTACCATGTTTGTAAAAGCACATATTACAACATGTAATCGAGTTGCTCTTTTATCTATGTGTGGCATATATTGTGTGTTTGGAAAAGTCCCAGAACTCTTCGAATGATGTGGAATATCACGATTCAATGTTGTTTCTTGTGAGACGGGCATGTATGTATGATAAATATATCGAAACTGCATAAGGCATTACTTTTCCATAGTAATGAGGTACTATAACATGCACTGAATAAAGAACACGGACCTATCAGAAAAGATAAATGTGTTGGTCGCAGTGATTATGACCCGAACAAAGGAGGGGAAAAACCGGAATCATACCGAAGAAGCTCTGGTAGCTTTGAAGATAGAGAAGGAATTACCAGCTATCCAGAAATTTCACTCAGCACCTGATCAATCATCCGAAACTTCCTAGTTCATGACTACTTCAACCCGGTCCCAGATAAGTGACCAGAGTAGTGTATTTACAATACAATAACCTGTTGTGTGTTGAATTACATCTTGTCTTTGTACCGTTTCAAACCAAATAAATGTTAGTGAAACAAAACAAAAAATCTAAAAATGTTTTTTTTTTCAAAATACTACACACTAAGAAATTATTTTTTTTACACGAGACGTAATTCAGCTTTGACGTAAATCATGGAACGTAAACAAACATGGCATGTAAAATTAAGTGTTCTGAAACTGAAAAATATGCAACTCGACGAAAATTCCGTGTGATTGAATTGATTTTCTCGTCCTTTGCAACTGATTCTTATGTCAAAAGGGCCGCTTGCATGTGTCGGTCTCACGACACTGAAATTTACATGTCTTTTTCGTAGTGTGTAAGGCGTGAGGATTTATTTAAGATTCTGGGAAAATGTTTCAATGTCTACAACATGGAATAATTGTCAATATCATGCAATAATTAAAACTCAATAATTTGGGACTAGACTATCGATTAAGGATACAATCAAACTACTAGGAGCGATTCAAATATGACGTCCACTCTTGAGGGAGGAGGAGTCCTTCAATTTTTGATAGTACTTGTAATAGGTATGGAATAAAGCGTGGGGGGGGGGGCGGATTGGCATATATATAGAAAATTGATTCCTTTAACAATAGTAATTCAAGGAGAAAGCAATGAACATGTTTACCTAGTGGATGAGTACTTAAGAGGGTTAGATTTTGATAATGGAATGACACTGATGAAGACTGCACATTGTAGTCGAAATATGTATCTGTCATGGATACTAAAATTAATTAAGCGGAATTAAATGGAAGATAACCTTTTTTTTTTGCCGATTTGAATTTGAATTCCGATTTGGTTTTTATAAACTCTCGAACTTTTCTTCGAATATCACACATCATATTTTGGACACTCTGTTGGCTAACCTGAGCGACCGTTTTATTCCACCATCTCTTCATCTCTGTCGCATCCAGAGACACCTTTCCACTCTTCTTCAACTTCTGTTTGACAATTGCCCAATACCAATCATTTTGCGCACCATCGGTGCGTGGTCACGCATACCTGTGCACACGGATCATCGTCATCGAGTGTCAGCATCTGTCTCCACATTCAAACCGCTCATCCATCATCGTGTGTTCAGCTGAGTGCCGAGCTTCATACAAGCACACACCAACGAAGACCGCCCGCACACGCGGATCGAAGATCATCAAAGCTGCGCGTCGCTCCGCTGCTGCTGTGTAAACGCTCGGTGATAGTAGTATAGGATTATCAGATAAGTTTTTGTTCTTGTTTCTTTCTTTCTCCCATCTGTTAAATTTTAAGTTTGTGTTTCTGTGTTAGTATTTTTTTTTTCTTCGTGTATTGTGTCCGAGTAATTTTGATTATCGTTGCAGTGGTAGAGCGTTTTTCGCTCCCACTAGTACGGCAAAATGGACATTTTGTCGGAAGACGAAATGGACGTTTTGTCGGAAGACGACACCACTTTGCCACGCGATAACAAGAAGGGTCGAAAACGTCTGTCATCCCAGAAATCAGATGATGCCATCCCTGCTTCGTCATCTCAGTCTGGTAATGGACAGGGACAGATAAGCCCCCGATCGCGAGCCTACCCAGAAGACTCGACTGGCCCATGGGTTGTTTACTTTCAGCCCAAAAAGAAACCTTTGAATGTAATGCAAATTACTAATGATCTGACGAAGCGGTTCTCGGCCGTGACCGAAATCTCGAAGGTGAGGTACAATAAACTTCGCGTTGTCGTCTCTAACCTGAAACAAGCTAACAAGATTGCTGCCTCCCAGCTCTTTACACTCGAGTATAGAGTGTACATCCCAGCTCGTAATGTGGAGATCGAAGGTGTGGTCACCGAAGCGAGTCTGACCCCCGAGATCTTGGCGAAGCAAGCGGTTGGCCGTTTCAAGAACCCCTTGCTTCCCACGGTTGAGATACTGGAAGTCCAGAAGTTGAACGCAGTATCTTTCAGCGAGGGTAAAAAGAGCTTTACCCCCACAGACTCGTTTCGGGTGACCTTTTCTG